CTTTGTTGCTGGGATGAAAATATTAACTGACTTTGCAACTCAGATCTCCTTAATACATGATTTTTTAAAGTTCTTCGTAGGATTTTTTTTTTTGAAAGAGGGAAGGTTATTAGAGGAGTTAGAGGTAGTGATGTTGATGAGAAAAAAAAAGTAGAGAAGAAGAAATATTGTTTTTTTAATGCACAGAAGAGAGTAAAAGGAAATCTAGAGAGATACAACCAAGCCAGCCAACTTTGAAACTATGTTAAATTTATCATATTCTTTAAAAAAATACAGTTAAATAATAAAAAAAAAGAATGCACAATAAAATATATTCTCCAAATCTGAAAGAGAACATTTGCTCAATTTGTTTATTATGTATTGGGTTTATTTGGAGGATTCTCTGCTTCAATATTAAAATTTGACTTGTCCGTTTAGGTTATTTATTTTCTTGTCACTAGTATTGTTTTAGGTGTTTGGCTCTATGGAGTAGTCTTTAAGTATTATGTTACTACAATTCATCTTTATACTTCCTCTATCCCTTTCTTCAAAATCAATGTTGTTTATTAATCTTTCAAATAACGAAATAAATTTAGGGATTTAGCTGTTTGACGATATCTATAATAAGTTGTGAAAGTAAAAAAGGGATCCATTTAAGTAACAATTACTTGACAAGTCAGTATTATTTTAGAAGAATTTCATCAAAAATAAAATAACATTTTTTGGACACTAAAAGAGGAAATATAATACCAAAATGAACTGATAAACCAGTGTGAAATAAACGAAGACAATGAAACTGCTTTATATGAACTGATGAAAGGGTATAAATGAAAGGGAATTAAATTTCCATAAACAAGATCTAGACACTTCACTGTTTTTTCCACTGCATGAAAGGACAGAGCAGTCTAGCAATAAAGAGACAGATGTAACATGTTTCACAACTGAATGGCTTCATCAGTTTACTTCTCTTGGTTCTATTAAGATAATGAACCAGTGTCTCATTGCTTACAGTCTAGGTGATGCTGTGAGCTTGAAAAACGTTTTAATCTCAGATTTAAGCCTTGTAAAACCTGAGTTTGTACTGCCTAGTGTGGGAATTTGTTTTAGCCTAGAAACTCCATTGGGGAAAAGAAAATCTTTCTTTAGAAAATATGTTCACATTACCCCAGTAGGTCCTGTGAGTAATTCGTATTTGTATTTATTTCATAAAGAATAGCTATAGGTAATATCTTAACGTTTATATAGCACTTACTATGTACCTGGCACTGTGCTAAGTAACTTGCTTAGGGTCATGTAGCTAGTAAGTGTTCAAGGTTAGATTTGAATTCAGGTCTGTCTGATTCCAGGCCCATCCTCTATCCACTTTGCCGTCTAGTTGCCCCTCTTACCTGCCTTTCAAAACCTATCAAAATCAAATATTGAGCATCTGTATTGATAAACTGTCAAGACTACATGTGAAATAAATTGAAAGGTTAGCCTTGCTATATGAAACTTAACTTCATGAGTTCATTATGTAGCTTACAAACCTTTCCATTCTCACTCCTGCCCTTATTATTAATATTCACAGTGAAGCTTAAATCTTTTCCATCCTAAAAAAACCCTTCATTTCTTCAAGCTTTCATCCTTTGAACTGTCTGCCATCCTAGGTCATTAACATTCTCAGTTGCTATATCTTCATCTTTATTTAGTTACCCACAATTTGTAATTATATCTTAATATAATAAGACCTCACTGTCATCCAAATTTTTTCCAGGTTTTTGAACTCTGAAATTCTCCTTGCTGCTCACAATCTTCTGTCATTCTGTTCCTCTCTGTCTACTCATTTGTCCTAAACCTGTTCTTTATCTTCATCTTCCTCTTTTCTCTCAGTTCATCATCTCTGTTCTGCCATTCTGGTCTCATTTCTGCCCTTCACTCTCTCAACCCTATCATTAATTGATTCAACAAGACACTGTCCTCCACCCTTGACTTCCTTGATCCTTTATCTTTTCAGCAGCTCAAAAAAGGGAAAAGACTAGGCCAGTGGAGAGGATGATCCAGGGTAAAAGATTGACAGAATACTGAAAAAATAAAGACTGGATCTGTTATAAATTCACATTATCTAACCTTAATTGGGCCCTGATGGCTACATTATGATCATTATTCATTTCTATCAAAGTCCCCAAAGAAGCTATTCCAAACTTGCTATAGGCTCAAGCCACTGATAACCATTTCTGTATCTCTCTACTTAATCCTACTTCCTACTTGGCTGAGAAAATCAAGATCTTGCATAATGACTTCCCTCATCTTCCAGCTCTGGACCTCAGAATGTTTCTACCAAGAAAGCTGTTTTTAATAAATAGTGATTTGTGATTTCACTTATAATAGTCTATTTTGTTCTACTTTGCACATGGAAATATAGTCAGACTTTTTTTTGGGAGAGGGGTGTTTAAATTCAGAATTTAAAAAAATTATCCAAAGCAATCAAAACCATTCTACCCCTCACCAAGCTTCTCTTCCTTTACTAAAATCCCAGGGAATGAAATGACCCTTTACTTTTCCTTTGCCTTTCTCTTAGCAGAGTGCCTGGTCCGTACTAAACATTTGATAAATATTTGTTGACGTCTGACTGACTTTTCCAGGGTTTACCCTTTCTACTTGCATCCTTTTTTCTTTCTTCCTTGGTTTATCTTCTGTCTGCTGGCTTTTTCTTCACTGTCCACAAATAAGCCCACATTTCCCTTTATCCTTAAAACGACAAAAACCTTCCTACCCTCTCGAGTTTTATCCTATATCTTTTTTTTCTCTTTCGTTATGAAACTTGTGAAACATTGCGAAATCTTTTTAGGACTGTTTGCTTCCTCCTCTTCCTTAACAACCTCCCTCTTTTCAGCACCCTATAATCTAGCCTAATCCTCCAATGAAACTTTCTCTCAGAAGTTACTAGGTATGTCTTAATTGCTAAATCCAGTGGTATTTTCTGAGTTCTCACCCTTTCTTCCTTCTTAGATTATTACTGTGACTCTGCTTCAGTCCTTTGCTTACTGTCTGACCACTGCTTCTGTCTCCCTTGTTGGTTCATCATCCATCTTCCATGAAGGTTAGGTGTCTGCCAGGGTAGACACTGGATTGTTCTTTTTTTTTTTGGTTAATTTTTTTTTATTTAAATTTTTTTATTTTTTCCATATGCTTTTGAGTTGAAAATTTTTCTCCCTTTTCCTCCCCCCCCCAGACAGTGCACAATCTGATATAGGCTTTACATTTACATACCCATTAAACATATTTTCACATTAGTGAAGTTGTAAGTAAAAATTAAACCAATAGGAGGAACCATCAGAAAGATGAAACAAAACTCAACAGAAGGTAAAAATAAGTGATAGCGATTCGACTTCCATAGTTCTTTTAACAGCATTGACACTGGATTGTTCTTACAAACATTAACTATTGTACTGCTCCTCAGTAGCTGTTGAGGTCTGTAGAGTTGTGTGCCCCTGGGCAACTCTGCTTATTCAGTTCTTGTTCTTGTTCTTGTTTTTTTTTTTCTTGGCCTTTTTCCTCTGTTCTTTGCCATATCAGTAAATGGTGATTTCTTGCTGTTGTCAGAGTTCCTACCTATAATAGAATCCCTCCTAAGTTGTTCCTTTGAATCAGTTGTGACCTTGAAACAAGATCATGACCTTGTTAGAATTATATGTAAAGCAAAAGTAAAAAAAACTGAGTGTGGGCTTGAGTTCCCCCTTGTATAAATAGCTACTGTATGTAGATCCTGTAGCTTCTCTTTGGATTTTCCTCCTATTTCTTGGCTATTTTCCAGATGGATGAGGTTGCTTGTTAGCTGAGTTCCAGGTAAATGGAATGTATCTTAAATATCGCCTCTATCATAGCAACAAAATGTGAAATTTTTCGGAAAGACAATGAGTAGAAACTGAGGTTGTTGATCATCTTGATTTGTAATCTCAGCCATGATATTTGTTACTGAATTGATATTTGTAATTTGGTTTGATTTACTAATCTGTTAGGCAGATTTGATTATATTTAAAAATATAAGTTTTGTCAATATATATTCTTTATAGCTGCTTTAGGGGGAGAGGTCTCACACTCAGAAATCTGATATAAAAGTCTGTTCAAAAACTGAAATCTGACTGATCCTGATAATAAAAATCTCCTCGAAGAAAAGTTGTATTGTAAACAACTATACTTTGATGTTGTGTTTTTTTTATTTTAAATTAAAATGAAAAGATTGTTCGTATTACCCCATAACTGTGGGTGTACCTGAAGAGGGATCTGTCTTAGGCCTTGTTCTCTAGCAGTGTTCTCTCTATGAACTCAGCACCCAGGGGTTTAATTATCACCTTCTGCAGGTGGCTCACAGATCTACCTCTCTAGCCTAAGTTTCTCTGTGGAGCTCCATTCCTAAACCACAAACTTTATATTGGACATTTCAAACTGAATATACCAGAGACATCTTAAACTTAACATACCCCAAATGGAACTCTTTCCATTTCTATGCACCAAGAAATTCTAGGTATTGAGAATACAAAGACAAAAATGAAACGGACACTTCTCTTTAGGGAACTTACATTCTACTGTAAGACACTACCCCCCCCCCCCGCACATACATATCTATACATATCCATCTATAACTTGAATTGTTTAAAATTGCAAGGAGATTTTTGAAATACCACACACACACACACACACACACACACACACACACACACACAAAATAGATACATAAAAATAAATTTGAGGTAGTGAGCAAGGCACAAGCAGTTGGGGGGTGGGGAATTCAATATGGTGGTTAGAAGTATGTTCTAAGCACGAGGGGCAGCCAATGCAAAGGCACAGATATGGAATATGAAGTGTTGTGTATGAGAAATTAAGATAAGGCCGAAACATAGTATAGAAGTGTAATGGTTAATAAGGTTAGAAAGACAGGTTACCTAGAATTTCTTGGTGCATAGTAGGAGCTTATTAAATGCTTTTTCATTGATATTTGATAAAGCAGGACTTCACCTTGTTTAAACCTTTTTGTTTTTCAGCATTTTACTTAAACCAGTATGGAGGTCTGCTGATCAGAAGCTAGAGAGCTACCGATTAGCATCCCATGGTGACTACGTCTTACAATTTCTGTCCCTGTGTCTGAGGGAGATAGTCTGCGTGCTGTGGAAATGAACGGAGAACAGCAGCTTGAGACAGGTATTAGTATTACCACCCTATTAAAGTGCTTTCTCTTGGTAACATTCATGATCAAATAGAGCCTAGATAGTGCAGTGTAATTTTTTCCCGTCTTTTGGCAGTATGATTATTGTATGATGTGGTGAAGTTGATGAAAAGAGTCAGAACAGTATAGTAGAAGTACACTTTTAATTCTTAGTAATTTTAAGGCAAATAGCAAAATAAACCTATATAGTAGAAACAGTAATGGAAGTAAGTTAAACTTTATATGCATCAGATGTGTTTTTCCTCTGGGAAAAGAAAATCTTTTGGGCATAAGAGCAAGTCAAACTACAGCAAGTATGTTATTTTGCCATATTTTCCTCTATTGCCCAGTATGAAATAATACAAATCGCTATGTAGTGGAAAAGCTCTGGAATTGAAGTCAAGAGATCTGGGTTTGAGTTTTAGCTGTGCCAAGTAAACTCTGGTTCTATTTAGATCAGTCTCAAAGTGGTTATGAGAATCTTCAATGTATTTAATATCAGTTTTAGTTATGAGTCTTCCATGGTCTAGTTAAACCAATTAGTTAGAATGCCTGTTTTTTGTCATCTCTCAGCTAGTGACACCAAGTCCAGTTACTCCTTCCTCAGTGAATTAAGTGTCTGGTTCACAGTCTCACCCAACTCTTGCCCTTATAGTAGGGTATTTTGAGACTCATAGTGTTGTTCCCTCAGATACTCTAACTTCTCAATTCCTTATTCTACTTAATTCCCATGATGTACTCCTTCATTCCATCTCGGCATAGGCATGCTTCTTGCTCCTAACTGCTTCTAGACTTTGTACACTACAACAATCACTTAGTACCTTTTCCTTCATTAAGAGTCACTTCATTCAAATGTAACTCCATATTTAAGTCCTGGTGACCATTATCTGTCACCCCCCCAGGTCATTCTTTCTCTTTTCTCATGGAGTTCAGTGCCTGACTCAGTATTCCTTTCTTCTCCATCCCTTATTCTTATAATTGGGGACTTCAGTTGTCTTGCTTTCTATGAGTTTACTATCACTTCTGCAGTTACAAACAGGGGTTGGTCATACATTAATCTCATTACCTGCCTCTGTTATCCATAACTGAAATTCCTTATCTGACCATAGCCTTCTGTCCTTCTGTCTCTCACTATATTTTACACATCCTAAACCTATTGTCTGCCTTAATCTCCTAGTCACTTTTTTCTCTCTCCCTTCTTTCTTGTGCCATCATTCACGATCTGACCTCACTGTTTGTCTTCAGAGTCTTGACCTTTTAGTTAACTAGTTCAGCTTAACAAGATTATTTATCCTTATATCTTCTTTGTCTTATTATCTGTGGCTTTCCAGATTTCATCCTTGAATCACTCCCACCCCATCTACCTTCATTATTTCTGTTTTGTGCTGTATATCATCAGTGATAAGTCATACAACTGTGCTATCTGGGGCTACTATAAATGTTATGTAATGTTAAGTGTACTTTTATTGCTGCATGCCACTCCTCTGATATATTTAATCAAACCAACCATTCCATAAATATTTATTAGGCTCCTACTATGTGCCAGGCACTGTGTTAAGTGCTGGGGATAAAAAAAAAAGAGGCAAAAGACTGTGCCTGCCCTCAAGGAGCTCACAGTCTAATGGAGGCGACAACAAACAGTATACAAAGTAAGCTATGTAAAGGATAAACAAGAAATAATTAACAGATGGAAGGCACTAGAGTTGAGGAGTTGGAAAGGACTTCTTGTAAAAGATGGAATTTTGATTGGGACTTAAAAGAAGTCAGAGAAATCCAATGAAGTTGAGGAGGGAGAGTGTTCCAGGAATAGGGTAACAGCCAGAGAAAATGCCCAGGGCTGAAAGATGAAGTGTCTTGTTTGTGGAACACCACCCAGGAGGTCAGTCTTACAGGACTGAAGAGTTTGTGCCAGGGAGTAAGGTATAAGAAGACTAGAAAGATGAGAGGGGGCTGGGTTATGAAGGGCTTTGAATGTCAGACAGAGCATTTTATATTTTATCCTGGAGGCAATAGGAAGCCACTGTAGTTTGAGTGAGGGTGGGTGGTGGTGGTGGTGGTGGCAGCATGATTAGACCCAGTCTGTCTCACTTTGGTGGCTGAATGGAGGATTGATTGGAGTGGGGAGATTCTTAAGTTGGGCAGACTACCCAACAGCTTGCTCTTGCATGCTCCAAGTGTGAGGTGATGAGGGCCTACTCCTACTCTCATAGAAGAGAAAGGGTCATATTTCGTTTGTTTGTTTGTTTTTGGTGAAGCAGTGGGGTAAAGTGACTTGCCCAGGGTCACACAGCTAGTAAGTATTAAGGATCTGAGGCTGGATTTGAATGCAGGTTCTCCTGATCTCAGTGCCAGTGCTTTATCCACTGCACCACCTATCTGCTCTGAGAAAAGGTCATATTTGAGAGATGCTGTAAAGGACAGATTGACAAGATTGGATATGGAGGAAGAGATAGAGAAGAGTGAATGCTGACACCTGATTGGGAACCTGAGGGAGTGAGAGAATGATGGTGCTCTATATTGTGATAGGAAACATAGGAAGGGGGGTGGGTTTAGGGTAAAGATAATGAGTTCCACTTTGGACTTGCTGAGTTTAAGATATAAACTGGATATCCATTTTGAGCTGTCTGAAAGACAATTGGAGATGCAGAATTGGAGGTAGACTAGGACAGGATAGGTAGATTTGAGAATCATCAGCATAGAGATGGTAGTTAAGTCCTTGGGAGCTGATGAGATCACCAAGTGTGAAATGGTGTAGAGAATTGAAGAGGGTCCCTGTGGAACACTGATGACTAGAGGGCATGACCCGGAAGAGAATATAGCAAAGGAAACTGACAGGGAGGGTTCAGATGGGTAGGAGCAGAACAGGAGAGAGTGGTGTCCTGAAAATCTGGTGAGAGAAGAGAGTATCAGGGAGGAGAGAGTGATCCACTGTGTATCTGTTGATGTTGCAGAGAGTTTAGAGTGAAGATTAAGAAAAGCCTGCTGGATTGATTCTCTGTCACCTTCTCTTGACATCTGTTCCAAACTTGCTCTTCTTTCCTGAAGTATCTAAACTACTCTTCTTCTCCCACCCTTTTTCCACTTCAGTCTTTCCCCTCTCTAATCCATTCTCTACCTAGATGCCAAACTGTTATTCCTAAAGCACTGGTTTGATGATGTTATATTCCTGCTAAAGAAATTCCCATTGCCTCTAGGATAACATACAAACTCTTCTTTTTGACTTTTAAAGCCTTTAATTTTCTGCCTTCAGCCTACATTTTCTGGCTTATTGCATATTACCTTCTTGCATTCTATGTTCCAGTCACGTTGACCTACTTGCTGTTCTATCTTAGTGCCTTTACACAGGCTGATCTTCATGCTTTGAATAGTCTCCTTTCACCACCCACTACTTTTTAGTCTTTCTTTAAAGCTCAGCTCAAGTGCTACCTCCTTCAAGAAGCAGAGCTTGATCCTCTTGTTTGTCACTGTTTTCCCCTGGAAATTGATTTGTATATATTTTGTATTTAATTTTCTGTGTTGTACATAATGTTTCCCCCAATAGAATGTAAGCAGGAATGGTTTCGTTTTTGTGCCTGTCTCATTGTAGGTGCTTAATAAATGCTTAGTGAATAAATGAGAAGTTGCAGTTAGCTCATGGAAGTATGTTGTGGAAACATGCATTTCCATATGAAATATACTTTATTTTTTATTGTGTTCAGTAGAAGTGGATTTTTAATGTATCTTACTCACTTGAACATGAATTCAAAGATTTAAAGATTTTGTTTTTGATCCAGATAGATGTTCATGACGAGTAGGTTTTTTTAACCAATTTTTTTCAACCATCAGATGAGTTAAATCAACCAGTTGTTGTGAAATGAACCTTTTTTCCCTCCAACTATATATGTTAATGTGTTTATTCAGTTTCATTTTGGAAAACATGTTTCTGTAAGGATAGTGCTTGCAGTTTTTAAAAATAGTAATAATAGGTGGCTGGTAGTAATACTTTGCAACTGAGGCAAAGTAATCTGAGTAAGTTAATTCTGATCTAAGCTTCGAACCCAGGTCTCCTCACTTCTATTTCAGGCGTCTCATGGCATCTAAAAACATCTTATTATACTCTAAATAGTAACTACTTCAAGAGAAGACAACTTGCCTTAGAATTTGTACTTACTGTTTTAACTATTGATATGTCTGCTTTCTGGTAAGACAGTTTATAAGGAATTGAGCCTATAAATCTAATAAAAATTTAGACTGTTGGAGTCTGGGTTTATAAATTAATTACTGGGTATTTTAAAAGCTGGAGCCTTTTGGAAATACATTTTCATTTATCAGGAATTGCCTTAGTAGAGTTGAAGTATATCCATCCTGCTGAAAACAGGGAGGTAGAATAGAGGCATTTTTGAACGTGCTCCCAATTCTAGGATTCTCTTTCATTGGATCCCTTTCTAATTAAGTGTGTAGAGTTCCAGCTTTGAGATATTTTTTAATGATAACATGTAACTTGGAGTTTCCTTGAATTGTGCAAATAGTTTCCAAGTATTTAATTAGGTGTCAGTAAAAATTGGGTAGGACTAATTCCAGCAACACCTCTGTAGATGTGGATTAGTATAAGGCAAATCTATAAAATCCCTACAGTTAATAAAACCTACTTTGCAGAAAAGTAAGGCAAGAGTAGCTGGGAAATGGTGTGGGGAAATGTGTAGAACCCATTGGTTTTCTGTAGGGAGTTAAAATTACAAGGAAATTTCAAATAATCCTACCAGTTTTAGTTTTGGATCTTGAAGATAGGAAACTTTCCAGCTAGCCCTAGAAATTACCGTACTGTGTACTTAGACCCCTTTATAATGAATTTCGCCTGGAGTTGATAATGTAAGAAATATTTATAATAAACATGTATCATGTGTATTTTGGTTGTTTTATGCTGTATTTTCAAAATAAGCCTTATTTGTGCCTTTTTAAAAATATCTCAGTTATTTCCTGATTTTGCTTCTGCTCATTTCTTGCAATATAAGAATCC